GGTTCAATCATCTGTTAAATTCTGTGATTCTGAAGAATATTTTTCTATAAAACGTTTAAAAGAAATGCGAAGTATAAATACAATGTCATATATAGTTTAAATAAATAAATGGAACACGTGAAACTGAATCGTGAAAAGAATCTTTGTGTTTGTGATTAATGATGAATCTTTGTGTGAATGAAGGTCGATGCTCAGTCACGCGTCTCAGTTAAATAAACCAGCTCGTTTAATCCTGTTAAATAAAAGACGCAGTGATTCAGAGGTGAGCTTTTAAAATAATGAACAATTGAAAGTTTATTTTAGGGGATGTTTGCTTTATTCACAAACACAAAGATCTAAAAAAACATCTGAAGAAACTGAAAATCCTCCACAGAACATCCCGTTAAATTCGGTTTAACTGTCTCATCTGCACGTGCGTGAGTTCCGTTTAAATTACTGTGGATTTCAACAGGTTTATTTTTATTTAGTCTTCATGTAAATTCTAATCATTTGTCTTCCTGATGAGGATTTGAAGAGAAGAGGAGCTGAAATTAAAACACAACTAACTGCGGATGCATTTATCCCCCTCCAACACACACACACACACACACACACACACACACACACACACACACACACCCCGTGCGTAAAGTGTTTCCAAACAGACCGACATACCTCCACAGAGCGCAGCGCCGACACAAACACCCCGGGACTCACGCCTCTCCTCTCGGCTGCTCTCGGCTCTTTTTGCCGCTGCGTCTTCAAATGGAAACGACTCGTGTTGCCTTCATGTAAATAAATGGAACCATAGCGCGCCCCCGTCCCCCAGCCTCACCCCTCCCTCCCTCCCTCCCTCATCCCTCCTCCTCCTCCTGGCTGTGATCATGTGATGGTGGAGAAGTGGCCCATTAATGAAGCTCCTCTCCGGGGGTCTTTTCTGCTCCTGTCACCGCCGTCCAGCCCGCACACGGGACACACCGACAGAGGGACATGGAGGAGGCAGCAGCCGCTTAGCGCAGCTCAGCAGCGGGAAGGAGGAGGACGGGACACCGCGCTGCACCTGCCGGGGACCCGCAGCAGGCAGGCGGGTAGGAGAGCAGCGACCAGCCGCTGCTTCTTCAACTTTTCAACCAACTTGTCGGCGGAGTTGCGGCTCCAGGTCTGCGCGTAAAAGACGGAACCATGCGTGCCAAACACCAGGCGAGTCTCCTCCCGTGCGCAAAGCACTTCTGAAGAGTTGGGAGTGTTTGGACAAAGTTTGTAAAAAGTGAGGCGACTCTTTTCTGCAGACTCAACTGATACTGACCCGGCTCGGCTCGGCTCGGTCCGGCTCAGCGGAATAATGCCTCGTCCGGGGAGGAACACGTACAGCGACCAGAAGCCTCCGTACTCCTACATCTCCCTCACGGCCATGGCCATCCAGAGCTGCCCGGAGAAGATGCTCCCCCTCAGTGAGATTTACAAGTTCATCATGGACCGGTTCCCGTACTACCGGGAGAACACGCAGCGGTGGCAGAACTCCCTGCGCCACAACCTCTCCTTCAACGACTGCTTCATCAAGATCCCGCGCAGACCGGACCAGCCCGGGAAGGGCAGCTTCTGGGCTCTGCACCCGAGCTGCGGCGACATGTTTGAGAACGGGAGTTTTCTGCGGCGCAGGAAGCGCTTCAAGGTGGGCAGCATGCAGGCCACGGACCCTCTGGCGCCCAGCAAGCCGCAGGACGCGGCACATTACCTGCAGCAGCAGGCCAAGCTGCGGCTCAGCGCGCTGCACGCCGCCGCGCACCTCCCGCAGATGCCGGGTGGATACAACCTGAGCTCCGTGTCTCAGCCGTCCAGCTTCAAACACCCGTTCGCCATCGAGAACATCATCGCCAGAGAGTACAAGATGCCGGGCGGGCTGGCGGCCTTCTCCACCGCCGGGTACCCGCTGCACAACCAGCTGACCCCGGCCTGGCCGCACATGTACGGCTCCGGGGTGATGGACACCACGGCTCCCATCTCCATGGCCAGCGACTACTCTGCCTACGGCATGCCGCTCAAATCCCTCTGCCACGGCGGACAGACTCTGCCCGCCATCCCGGTGCCCATCAAACCCACGCCCGCCTCGGTGGCGGGGCTGCCCGGGCTGCCCACACACATCCCGGCTTTCCTCGCGAACTCGCCCCAGTCTCTGAGCCCCACGTCCCCGCACACTGCCACCGGACAGAGCAGCCCGGCCGCGCCCGGGGAGGCGCTGCCCTCCTCGGCCTCGCTGCAGTCCGTGGTGGCGGTGCACTGACCGGAGCCTGAACTTTTCTCTTTTTATATATGAAATAAAAACAGTGAAAGGGAAAATGAGAAACTTCTCCAAAGCAGAGTTTTTGTCTCCAGGACTCAGACACGAGGAGAACGTGAAGAAGCACCGTCCTGAAGTTTGTGTTTTCACATGATGTAAAGAAACAGCAGCTTGACCTCTGACCTCCGACAGACATTGATCATGACATCATAATAATAGTTTTTATTTCAATTATTTTCTAGATCTGATTTAAAAACTGAAACGTTGAGATTCAGGGTTTTGTTCCTTTAGTTTTTTGTTTCTTCAGTTTTTTGTCTCTGGACACAAATGATTCGGATCTTTTGTTGTTTTTCAGTCTTTTCTCCTCAAACTGAAAGAAACAGATTAATGACTTTTGTCTCGTCTGTTCTTTCTTTTCTGCCACAGAAGAAAAAGACGTTAATTTAAAAATGTGTATTAAAAAAAAAAAAACCCAACAGAAAAATCTTCATCAAAATGCTAACTTGCATTTAATTAAACCAAATAATGATGCAGTTTATTTCCTTTTTAGTTCTTTTATTTTTTGGGGATATGAACAATCGCAGAGAAGAAGAAATAAGACTTGAATCATATATTTATGTCAGAGGTTCTGCACTGTTTAAAAAAAAAACCCACTGCAGATATTTGACCATGAATGCAACGCTGGACTGTCTCATGCACTTTCTAAAAAATGAACCTGGATGTTTTGAAGCTGAAGCCGTGTTGGTTTAATTTAAAGTTTTTTAAAAGCTGTGGAGTCGAGCCGCTCTCTGTGTGTTTGTATTTGCTGCATGATGCTCAACGTCAGAAAAAGGAAAAAATATTTCAGTGTTTGTAATTTTTTCTTTTCTCTTTTTCTTTTGGGCTGAAATCATAAAGCATGAACATGAACAACGACTGAGCTGTGACTGCTCATTCACATCCATTAAAAAAAACCTTCATGAGAAAACACATGTGAAGGAGCCTGTTATTATCACAACATCTGTGCACAGCTGGACGCTGGTTAAAATTGAAATTGAAATAAATACATTTGTCGTCGGGTAAAAATCTCCACGTGTTTGATAAAACAGACTTTTCTTCTTTTCTCTTTCAAACATGATTTTAAACAGTTAAATCTTCCGTCAAATCTAATTTCCTGCTGCAGGATCTCGTTCAAACACAAGAAAGATGAATTCAGTTTCTTCAGTCGTCACGTCAACAAAACCCACAACTTGTTTTTATCTTTTTAATTTATCTTCATGTGAATTTCATCCTGAATGAACCTGTCGGACATTAATCTTCATGTGTCTTATTTTTAACGATGTAAAAGAGGGAAAATCTGTAAACGCTTCACAAGATAATAAATGAGTTCATATCAATTACTTAATCGATCATTCGTTTCAGCTCGAAGAGAAACACAGTTTGACTTGAGCAGAAAATAAAATTTAATTTTCCACCTGTCGCAGATCCAAGATTCTTCCAAGAACCAAAGTGGACGTGTGAGTTTGTCACCTGAAATATTTCTGAGCGTCAGACTCTCTGTGACACGTTGCACTGACTCCAGATCAGTTCCTAACGACACATTTTCTTAAACAGGTTTCTGACACAAGCATCAAACAGACATTTAACGTTTACCCGTTTAAAAGAGACGACGCACATTAACTAAAATAATGTAAATCGTTTTTCATCTGCACGTTGATGGTTAAAAAAAACAACTAACATACTGACTCATGTATAAAAAACACACACAGACATTCAACATGAATAATTAATAACATGTCTCTACACCCTGAAACAAAAAAATCCTGGGTTGAGGTCTGGTTGTGATCTGAATATATCAGCTGATCGTCATTTAAACTGTTTATTCTGCATCAGCTGCTTCACAGTGGGACCTGTCAGCTGGTGGGTTGTTGGTTGCCGTGGCGATGACAGGTTTTATTACAGCAGGAGACAGAATAATAATTAACTTGTAAATTTGCAACAAAACTCACAATGTCACTGTGAATGAGTCTGTTCATGAAACTTCAGTTAAAACGATAGAGACAAAAAAAAAAAACCTCATGTTGTGAATATTACGACAGATTTTATGACTTTTTTTATTTATTTAAAATTTTCATCTTCACTGGAAAAACTATAAAAACTGAGTTTGTTTTTAACTTCACTTTAAGTTGATGCAGTCGTCAGTCAGTTCGTCTCTGAACATTTAGTTTCTGCAGCAGATCTTAAAAAAACATCTTTTCATGAAGCTTCACAGTTTAGTCGATCCGGTCCTGAAGCAGTTTTGTCTGATTTTTCAAGTTTTCTGCAGAAATATTTCGACTTCAGGAAACTGTGACATCATCACGTGATCCGTCTCCTGATCACTCGTCAATAACGGCAGCTCCTTCAGTTTGAGTATTATTAATTAATTTGAAAATATTAATATCTTGATTAATTATTGAGCTACCACTGCAAAAATCCCAAATCTCTGCATATTTATTTAACAATGATCCAATTATCAGCCGATAACATCAGTCTGTGATTCATTCAAACATCTTCACTTTTCAAATTGTTATCTACTTTTAAATCAGTAAATCTTAAAATCTGTTCATTGTAGAGGGATTGAACATTTAAACGTTAAACAAACTGATCAGTGTTTTATCAGCGTTAAGAGAATGGAAACAATCGGAGTGTGTTCGAGGCTCCGATTGGACGGTTTGATCTGATGTCGACGTCTGCTTTGTCTCAAACGATGAAAATAAAGAATTAAACCTTTGACGGTTTTATCAGAGTCGACTTCAGGATTCCAGACTTCACACTGAAAAACCTTCGGCTCCGCCGCACATCATTTGTCTTTAAAACTAATTGAATGAGTTTCAGACACGTTTGCTTCCTGATGTAGGAAATAAAATAAGTGAGTGACTCAGTTTTATTTCAAACACGGACAGAAAACTTTGATGAGGTTTGAATTATCACAGGACGACTGCTCGGCTGCGTCTTCCACATATAATCATGATTTTCTTCAGAAATCACATTTTATTAGATTTCATCCAAACAACTAGAAAATATCCACGTTGTCCACATTTTACCCAGAAACAAGATTAGTCAGCTGATTTTCATCAATTGATTTTCTTCCAGTCGACTAATTAATAAATGAAACTGTTGCTATGGTAACACATGTTCAAATCAGTAACTAAAAAAAGACCAACGAGAATTCATCGTGGGTCACATGACTCTGAGTCAGTCTTGATGGAGCGCTGTCGGACGCAGTGCGACGCTATGATGTCAGAGAGTTGAAGAAGGTTTCGTCGTCTCCGACTCTGTTTGAAACGTTCAGGCTGCTGAGTTTAAAGATGAGAAAAGAAAAGTTGTCGCTCGTCTCCATGTTCGTGATGTTGGACGTAACGTGACCTGAGTCAGTTCGGTGCGTCAGTTGTGCTCGTCCTCAGAAGTCAACATAATGCAATACACACATCAGCGATAGGGGGCAGCGTAGGGGCAGGTACGTCACGTATCGTCTACGATGACAACGTCGATCACAGACGTTACCACCGACGAACCTCCTCCAGAGTCGATAAGAGTTTTATTCTATTATTTGCAGAATGCTAATCTGGAAGTTCTATACGGTCTGAGTTCTGTGGTGCGCCCTCTAGTGGAATAATTCAGTACGAGTATGTGAAGAATTCTTTTAATTACTTTTAAAGCCAGACATGGGCCGGCCCCTCCCTTTATTTCAGAACGCTTATCTTCCTACGAGCCCGGACGCAGCCCGAGATCCTCTGGTCAAGTGTCGCTGTAGCCATTCCAAGATCTGTGGGCTGAAAACCTCATGTGCACTTAAAGTTACTTGCATTGAAAAGTGCTCTTCAAATAAAGTTATTATTATTATTTATGTTAATTGCAGTCACGACACATCAGCTCGTCAACATGAGCAAGTTTTCCGGTGACGGGAAAGATGTTTTTAAAACACCTGCATTTATGAGATCAGTGTTGTGAACAGGTTCGTAGTTTAATAAAGTTTAGTCACTTCAGTTTAATATTAAGATAATTAACTGAATCTCTTCTTTTTGTGTCTTTAAAGTGAGTGTGTAACCTCAGAGTTCCAGGTTTGTGTGTGTGTGTGTGGTGTGTGTGTGTGTGTGTCAGCCTCTCCCTCGGTGACGGAGGTCTGGTGTGTAAACACTGGCCGGTTTGTGGCGAGCGGTGAATTAGCAGCAGGCAGCGTCTGAGCGGCCGTGAGGGATTAGCCAGTTAACACCTCCCCGCTGCCAAACGCTATTGTGCTCCGTCAATGCATATAGGTCTTTGAGTGCGTTGCCGAGAGACGACGACTGTTGCGGTAAAAATGTCAGTTAGTGACTCACACACACACACACACACACACGTTTAGTGACCACACACGAGTAAAACAAATGAGGTTTAAAGAGGAAAACTCTGCTGCTGTTGACTCAGAGAAGAAAAGAGAAACTCAACAGAAGTAACTCAAATATTTACTGAGCTAAAAGTGATCGAGTGAAAACACACGGAGGATTTTACAGAATTCAGACCGACCGCGACGTAGTGATCGTGGAATGGAGACGCAGCAGCGAGGTTGTCGACCTGGACGTCTGCGCTCGTTTTTTTTATTTCATCAAATGAAAAAACGTATCAGCGACGTGAACAAACATCAGCGTGAGAGGAACGACCTGAAATAACAAACGTTTATTTAACATCTCTCGTAGTTTTGTCCACGTCCCATCTGCTCATTGTAATTGAAGCAGCGCACTGAAGTATTTTGTCTGACATACGTACGTCCTGTCGTCGTCACGTACGTGGTCGGTTGTGTCGTCAGTTGGGGGGGGGGGGGTAGTCTTTCTATTCAGTTCAATTCACCTTCAGTACTACACAGACTGCAGCTGCTTCCTCTTCTTCTTCTTCTTCTTCTATGGTTTAATGTGTCTCTGCTTCCTGTGATTGGTCCAAAAGTCCAAACTGTCCATCAAAGTGTTTTCACTGTGAACCAACAGAACCACGGTTCAGTTTGATCCAGACCCAGAACTCCTCCTCTGGTCTGAGGAGCCGTTCACGCCTGATGTTCAGCTTCAGACTGAACTGAAGAGTCTGAAGCTGTGAAAACGTCCTGAGACACAACCTGAGTTTTCCAAACACAACGAGAGCAGCAGCTCCGACAGGTCTCTGCTTCAGAGGCTGGGAAAGTCCAGAGTCGAGTGGAATGTCAGTCGTAACCATGGCAACAGTGATGAGTTTCAAAAGTGTCGGTGTGGACGGAGCCTGAACCAAACAGGACAGATTTCCTAAACTGAAAAACACCTGAATCATTGAATTTCCCTGAGAATCTTTACAAACTCAGTGTTAATGATCATTTCTTCAACCGGTCACGGCAAAATCAGTTCCGTCTCTCTGAGCTTTAGGTAGCTTAGCACAAAGACTGGAAGCAGGAGGAAACTGTTAGCCTAGCTCCCTCAGGAGAAAAAATAAATAAAAATACAACTCCAGATCTACACGTCTTTTTCCTCAGAAACAGAAACTATAAGACGCCGTGTTTCTCGCAGCAGCTGAGCTTCACCAACATAAACTCTGTGACTCTGTGTCTCTGCCTCGTCTGTTGGTTTCCCTTCGGCGCCGTCAGGCAGATCACCAAGAACACAATCTGTCACCGAGCGCGGCGGCTGCCAGCGTCTGAATAAATCATCCGTCTCAGCTAGAGGTGAATCTGTTTGATTTCATGTGTGACCCAAATAACAAGGCTTTCCCCTGTGAGACGTAAATGATGCAGTGACGAGGAGAAACCTGAGATTCTGTTGAAACAGTCGTGATTTCTGACCTGGTTCAACACGACGCTGAGTTTTCATCAAGAAACAAAATTTATAAAAAGCTTTTTGTCCTGATGCTGAATATGAAATAAAAATTTTAATGTTTGGTTTAATTTATTTTCTTCTTTTTCGGGTGATTCCTTCTTCGTTTCTTTGAAAGTTTGGAAAAATATTTATTTAAATTTAAACAAAATAAAGCTCCAGATAAAATGACAAACAGATCTGTGAATTAAAAAATTAACATTTTCATTGGGAATAAAATATCTCTCTCTGTGTAAGTTATATTGTTGGTTTTCATCATTTCTTTCAGACACTTTGGTGGATAACACCTTTATTTTGTAGTTTAGTCTCTTTTGTTTTGTTGAAAGTAAAAACTTTAAAGAGAAGTTTTGTGTCGACACTAAAACACAAAGAAACACGAGTTAAATTGAATTCACTGAATC